TGACCCCCACTGTGCATCGCATCTCTTCTAAAGGAGATTTTTAGTCGACATGCTGAAACATTACCAAAACCATTAATTCTCTTTATACAACGAGACCGGATAAACAATCGTTAATTGTAGACGTCCCTACAACACACTGACAACACTCACATCGAGAATCACAGAAGTTCACATATTCGACGACTATCATGTAGATTACGTTCCATTTAACGACAAAAATTGTATTGTAAAAAATATATTGTAAGATAAAACCAGTACTTATCTTTTGTTTTCAAGGTCCTACACAGTTTAATGTCAACAAGTCCTCAAGATAAACAATGGAATCTTGCATCAGAGACACATCCTGAGGTATATTTGTTCTAGGCCTTCTAACGAAAAGATCATACATGTCTCCTTTTTGTCCTTCAAAAGTACAATATAGCACACTATATCCCCAATAGTAAATATACAAACGAAATACTGTTTTTAATGGTATGAAACCGAACTTTTAATTTTCCACATAATTGTATCACCAACGAAATAGATAAGTATGCGACTACTAGTTTTAACAACAAAATATTTATATAAAATCTACATACACGATACTACTGAATAAAATACAAACTTACCAATTGAAAGGTTTGGTGTTTAGAATCGATGACAGGTTACCAGATTGTTAAAAAGTTTTCTTGTTGTTCTCTCTTGTTATAGTGAATGTGTTTCTTCGTATTGAGTGTTAACATGTTTTCAATATATTTTTTAAACAAGGAAACCTCTTGATCACGAAAAACCCCCTCAAATACAGGTCTCATTGAAAACTTGTCTAGGTAAATAAAATAAGCCAGCAATTTCTACAGTTTAAAACAGACTTTGCGATAGCATTTACAACCCTTGTCTTTCTTATTTTCTTTGGTTAATAAACCAAAGAATAATAATGAATACTAATATATTAATTAAACAAAGAATAATATAAATAATAATAAATAATAAATAAATAATAAATAATAAATAATAAATAATAAATAATAAATAATAAATAATAAATAATAAATAATAAATAATAAATAATAAATAATAAATAATAAATAATAAATAATAAATAATAAATAATAAATAATAAATAATAAATAATAAATAATAAATAATAAATAATAAATAATAAATAATAAATAATAAATAATAAATAATAAATAATAAATAATAAATAATAAATAATAAATAATAAATAATAAATAATAAATAATAAATAATAAATAATAAATAATAAATAATAAATAATAAATAATAAATAATAAATAATAAATAATAAATAATAAATAATAAATAATAAATAATAAATAATAAATAATAAATAATAAATAATAAATAATAAATAATAAATAATAAATAATAAATAATAAATAATAAATAATAAATAATAAATAATAAATAATAAATAATAAATAATAAATAATAAATAATAAATAATAAATTATAAATAATAAATAATAATAAAAAATAACAATAAATAAAAATAAATTGTAGCTTGGACTTTCATTAAAGACAAAATATTGGCATGATTAATAAGTTACTTTTGAAGAAATAAGGGAGAACTTCGACAACAAAAATTAACTGTCCTTTCACCAGGAGCTACCATAACTAGTAAGCACATAGAACTACTTACTTTGGAACAACCTACATAATGTGTTTTATTATAATACTATTCCTACCCTATGTCCTTTCACTTATGATTATATGTTAATAGCAAAGTAATAGCAAAGTAAAATGTAACTATTTTAGCAGTTCATAGCAAATTCCCAAATGCCACAGGAGAAAATATTGAAGATGTCGTCTTAAACTGAATGTGAATTAACTGATCAAACCACTAATTTTCATACAGTAAACAAGTATTTAAAATACGTTTTCCGTACATGTTACTTTATGCAAACCAAAAATATCCTCTTCACTCCTTGGTACACACAAAACAATAATTACGTTTATCAATAACGTGATAACTTTAATTTAATTTTCAACTGCTTTAATAAACTAAGGTTAATTTACATTTGTTAGTGTCAGAGCGATCCGTTACAGTTTTCGCAACACGCAAGTCATAGTGTGTGAAGATACACATTATATATATTATTCACACATTATAATCTATGACTATTGCATGTTGCTAAAACTTCAGTAAAACATGAAGATGATTAAAACTTATCATTCTTGAGTTTGGTTAGTTGCGGAATACGATCACAAACTCAACGAACATTTGATTTTCATTAACTAAACATAGATTAATACACGAGATACGGTTCCCGGTTGGAATTATTATTTTTCCTACAGCATTAAATCGTCTTGGATCTTAACTATTGAAACCGTTTAAATAGGTTCTTATTAATTTATTATACGCTTCGAGGTTGAACGTTGGCCTTACGTGCTTATTTCACAGCAAAAAAGGTACCCAGGAACTAATTAGTCACATCAAGTTTAATTCGTACTGAATAATCGAACAAATCAATCGAGATATGATTAAACAGTTCAAGATATGTAACACACATTCCCTGCTAATCAATTCTTATTGTAACTCGGTATTATAACAGGTGTTCATAAGATGCCCTATTACGGTACATCTGATAATTACAGTTTATAATTTCAACCATGAAGCCGAGTGTATCCATCCTGCTCAGCAACAATCTACTTTTTTTACTAGTTGTCCTCAACCGATCTCCGACGCTCAAGGATGGCTCCGGAACGTCTTCATTCCACTGGATTACCCACAATTAACTTCATCACACGCAGAAATTGTAGGCTACACTTGACTGTGTGGCCGAAAATGTACACAGTCATTGACCATTGCATGTTTGGGTTGACTGTATACTTTAACTTAAAATTACTTTTATATTGAGCTATTCATTATGTGTTGCGAATTAATAAAAATTATTTATGTCGAGTTCTTTATTAAAACTATCTTAAAATTGTGGCTTAAAACGACCAGTAAGTTTACTTGTGAGGTGAGAAGCGAGAAGGTTAAAACTATGTTTTTAGGCGAGAAAAACTGTCTCTGTATTGGAGTTCTTACTTCATTGAAAAAGAAGATGATTTAGTTTGGTAAAATTCTTATAAGGATACGTACATACGTACAGTTGTACTAAGAACTTTAACATTCATTGAAGGGTTGGGGTGTGAGTGAATTGACACAAAATTGAATTTGGAAACTAATACTTCCAGTGGAGTTGGGAATAGAGTTTCTGTTGCAAATCGTATAATGTGTGAAGATATCCCTCTATCACAGGTTCCACAAAATAAATTATGAGAGAAAGTGAACGTAACAAATGAATAAAATCTCATTGTTTCAATTAAAAAAATATTGTAAAAATGTAAAACAATAACTGAAAAAATATTCAACACATTCTAAATGGAAAGGAGGTTTTAAATTTCAAAATCGCTTGTAATCTTAAATCTCATGATATTACTTGCTTTAGGAAAACTAATTGAACGCTAAGCTATAACACTTTTTACGCAAATGAGAGTTAAAAAAAATGTTCAAACAATACGTATTGAATGAAATATTTATTATTGTCATTGCATTTATAGTATAATTTTTATAACTATTTTTTTCAGATACAGTTTTTGAGTGTGTACGAATACACACTCCAAAGTTATAGCGTAGTCTGTTATAGAACAACTAACAACTTAGTTGAAATAAGCTACCGACAGAGCTTGCTGATTTCACTTGAATAAATCAAATTAGTACGCTGACTAGAGACGAAATCATCCTAATATGTTAACATTTTGAACATTGAAAAGACATGAATATAAATTTGGACACCGGCATACTCTATTAACGACTAAAACAATTAATTTTTAATAAGGAATTGGCTATAGTTATTTGTGCAACTAGTGAGAAAAGTGAGCAATTGACTCACTCGAGCCGTAGGCGAGTGAGGAATGGTTTCTCGAGTGAGGCAATTGTACTTTGAACTGGAGTTGCACATTATACTTTTCCTACAGTTACCATAAAACAAATAAATTTGTGAAGAAACATAACCTATTTTTACACAGAAGTGAACTTTTAATATAACATTTAATGTGAAGTGACAAATACAACAGTACAACAGCTGACCAGCTGATTTACAGCCAGTGCTGCCAACGTATTTCGCGCGCATACGACGTTGCCTGCATGTTACGCGCTCACTATATCGTGCCTTCACGTTGCAAATATGGAGTGAGACAAAGTTATTAGAGTGAGACAATGTTAACATTGTCTCACTGATGAGTGAATTGGCCACTTTGCTTTCTCAAATCAGTGAGAGAACATGTACATTGTTAGGTAACTGTAGGAAAACGCTAGTTTATGTTCTAAGATACTTTACAGACAGTCTTAAAGGCCCATCGGTTTAACAATGGTTCATAGTGTATATTTGGCCCAGTCGGTAGCTCGAATAGGCTACTTTGTAAAAAAAAGCCAAAGGTGCATAGGTTTGTGTCTTGGTGTTACTTACCCACATTTAATATTTCAATGTATTCTTGTTCTGGCTTGACTCACCCCTTGCTTTGCTGGATACATTTCTCATAGTAATGTGAGACTAAATTACCCATTACATTTTAAAAAAGTACCTATGTTATAATCCCCAGTGCCAACATTTCTTTACAATAAAACATTGTTTCCATAAGTTAGAGCGTCGAGCATTAGAAAACAAACTGAATTCTAAATATATTTGATCTCAAAACAATTCTCTTACAGATTGTTTAAACTGACAGGAAAAAAAGATCGGCACATTCCCACGCATCACCAGTCACCCTTTCATTTCTGAATTGCATCACAAAATTTATGGCAGAATTTATCGACACTCTATTAAACCCCAAATTAGGATTGAGTGTAAACCAGAACAAGTTGTAAGTAGGTTGAGCGACCGGTTGCAGATGATACGGATGACGTCATTGCTGGACTTGTGTATCTGCTCCAGAGTAATTATAGTGATGGGGGAAGTGGTATGATGATACTGTATATAAGTGCGGTCACTCTGAGATCAGTTGTCAAATCATCTCTCAACATGCAGTGGAAGACGGTAAGTTTGCTTATGTGATGTGAGAGTGAACCATAGTAGGTGGTGTTGTGTGGTTTCAACTATTTTTTTTAGTTTATTCGCTTATAAATATTTAGTATGGTTAAGTAAAGTAGTAGGAACATTGAGATTTCATTATTGTACTTCGGTAAGTACTTCTTGGCAAGAAAGTTTTTAAAATACTGTTGATGCTAAGGGGAAAAATATTTTTTTTTATATAGCAATAGTAATAAATTATATTTTGTTCCAGTTTTAGAAGTTTTTTATGTTCATCCTAACTTTTAAATAGATTTTTAAATTTCATAATTTATATCGATTATTGTAAAAAGACAGTTTACAGATTTTCTTGACCATCTTATATATGATATGTTCGTACTATGCTTACGTATGTTTCCACACGTTTTAAAGTACTGTAAGTAAAAATTATTTAGTTTTAGAAAGTTCAAATCGTTTTCCTAATTAAAATGTAAGATTTTTTCTCTTAATTCACTATTACGATTTTTAAGGGTTTACATGTTACGTACATCTATCTACAAATCGTTTTAAGGATTAGATTATTTTATGTTGGATTAGGTTATTTTTAGTTTAAGTCCAAAAACGTAACCTAAAACTTTAATTGTATTTTGTTATATTTGAATTATATATTGGTTTATAAACTTTATAAAAAAGTTTATAAACTGGTCAAATCGTGAAATGGAAAGGTTCCAAAACATGTTTTTCTTATTATTTTTAAGTATGCTACAATAGAAGCATTTTATGTCAATAAAGTAAAGAAAACAACCCGGGTGTTTTAAAAATCTAAAGAAAACTTACATCAACTTTAACTTGAATTTATCTTGAAGGCTATGTCGGTACTATAGTTAAAAATCACTTTTGTTTTAGCATAACGTAGATGAGTTTTTACCTTAATTGACTAAAATTATAGCTACCCTTTTAATTTAATATCAATTATATTGAGCTAAAACAGATATGTGTTCTTCAAATTTTCCAAAATTATAGAATTGCTGTCACAAACCTGGGTAATTAACACAAATAGAAGCAAGCAAACGCATCGGAAAATTGTTTTAAAAATTTAGTTGTACTGCAAAATATTAAAATAGGCATAAAATCAAATTAACGTACATTTAAATCGAAGAAAAAACTTTGAAAAATGATTTTTTTCAGGCTATGATCGTCCTTCTGGCGGGGGTAGCAGCCTCTGCCGGTCTTGACAGCAACTACCTCCCTCCTTCTGGTGCCGCGTACTCGGGAGGTAGAGGAGGAGCGGGTGGAATCACAGCTCCATTTGGAGCCAGAACTGGAGGATACGGTGGATCTTCCAGTGGAGCTGGGGGATACGGTGGATCAACTGGTGGTGCTGGAGGTTACGGTGGATCTGCCAGTCGCGCTGGAGGATACGGTGGATCAGCTGGTGGAGCTGGAGGATACGGTGGATCAGCTGGTGGAGCTGGAGGATACGGTGGATCAGCTGGGGGCGCCGGAGGATACGGTGGATCTGCCAGTCGCGCTGGAGGATACGGTGGATCAGCTGGTGGAGCTGGAGGATACGGTGGATCAGCTGGGGGCGCCGGAGGATACGGTGGATCAGCTGGCGGCGCTGGAGGATACGGTGGATCAGCTGGTGGTGCTGGAGGTTATGGTGGATCAGCCAGTCGTGCTGGAGGATATGGTGGATCAGCTGGTGGCACTGGAGGATATGGTGGACCTGCCGGTGGTGCTGGAGGATACGGTGGTGGTGCTGGAGGCTATGGCGGTGGCGCTGCTGCCATAATTCCTATCATTTCCTACGAAAACAACCCCAATCTTGGAGATGGATCTTATTCTTGGAGGTGCGTATGTGATTTTTTTAATAATTATTTAAAGATATATGTAATTTTTTTTCCAATTTGATAATACTTCTCCGAAATGTTTTACATTTAAATGATGTTTCTTCATCACATGCCTACTTTTTGACCCTTACTTCTGTGACCCATTGAAAACCGTCTGCTCCCATACTCCTTAGGTTCTTTGTAACTTCGTCAATCCATCTAATCTTTGTTCTTCCTAATGGCTTCCTGCCCTCCGGATCACATATGTAAGAAAATTCAACTTTATGGAGGGTTTCCTTGGTTGTAAGAACAATTAACTAAAAAGGTTCATAATAATAACCACTAAGATCTTGCTCCTAGTCTTTATTAGTTTAATATATTTTAAACTAACACTTAACACATAAAAGATTTATTACTGACATATCCTTATTCTCTAGAGTATATTTATGTAAGCAAACCATTACGATTCTTTTTGCAAATAGGTACGAAACTGGCAACGGTATCAAGGCTGATGAGGAAGGGTATTTGAACCCAGGTGCACCCGAAGGCCCTGGAGAGACTGCTAAGGGATATTTCTCCTACACATCCCCCGAGGGTCAGCTGATCTCGTTGTACTACACAGCTGACGAGAATGGCTTCGTACCCCAGGGTGACCACCTCCCCACACCCCCTCCCATCCCTGCTGAGATCCTCGAGTCTCTGGCGAAAAACGCAGCTGACGAAGCGGCTGGTATCTACGATGACGGAAGTTACAGGTAAATATTACGTTCGGACCATATGTAAATATGACACGAATACCTTTATATATTTTAAGGCTTTTATTATTTATGTCCACACTTAGGTGCACATTTTCAACTTAAGTATGAATATGAATTATTGTATTCATATTCATACTTAAGTTGAAAATGCTAAATAAATATTGCTTTCAAAGCATATTCCCTCACGTGCCATTTGGTGTTCTAACACATAAATCCGTTTTTCTTTTCTTTGTTAATTACGTTATTTTTACAATAAAAATTTAGATTAAAGTAAAGAGGTTTATTGTGCTCTAGGACTCTTGATCTAGCAAAATGTATGCATAGTCTTATTTAACGGTGAAGTCATGGTATGTAAAAATGGTTAGTAGCAACAAATGCTTCACTTAGTCTCTCATCATAGGGAAGAGAGTGCCACTGGAGGCTATGGAGGCGCTGGTGGTGCTGGTGCCGCTGGAGGCTATGGTGGCGCTAGAGGATCTGGAGGCTATGGTGGCGCTGTTGTGGCTGGAGGCTATGGTGGCGCTAGAGGATCTGGAGGCTATGGTGGCGCTGTTGTGGCTGGAGGCTATGGTGGCGCCAGAGGATCTGGAGGCTATGGTGGTGCTGGTGGCGCTGGAGGATATGGGGGCGCTAGAGGCTCTGGAGCCTATGGTGGAGCTGGTGGCGCAGGAGGATATGGTGGCGCTAGAGGAGCTGGAGGCTATGGTGGCGCTGGTGCCACTGGAGGATATGGTAGCTCTAGAAGTTCTGGATACTCAAGTCAGGCGGCGTACTAGTGTTACTTGTAAGAATATATTTTACTCCTTCTTCATACTGCCAAACACTATTAATATACATTTGAACTACATAATTATTTTTCCGACAAAAAGCCATTGTATTATACTATACCCCTTATATCAAACTTCTTTAAAGAAATCATTGATGCTATTTCGTTCATTACTCATATTAATTTTCTCGTTCACTATATGTACTGTCTAGTGATAAGGCAGTATTAAGTCATTTGTGTGGTGATATATGTTTTGTTGTATTTCGTTTTAATGTTTTTGTTACATGTATGCAACGGGTATTAACTGTAAATATGTTTAAATCGTGTATGTATAAAGCAAATTGTATATTATGAAATGGAAATAAATGTCGCAAATTTAAATGATTCTGTGGTTTTATTACTTGTAACTTTGAATTCCTATTGAACAATTGTACCAAAGGTCATGAGATGAATGCATTGTGGCATTAAAGAGTCTTCTTACTTAAAAAAATCTTTCAAAACAGTTGTCTGTTACATTAAGTTGTCACCTTGCCAGACAATGCAAACAATGATATCTTTTAATTATTTAAGCTATTAAATTTGACTTAGAAATAATAAATGGGCCTTTTCATACAGCATAAATGCATCTTTTTTACTGTCACTTGTCAATTTTAAAAGTCTCACACGGAAAAATACAATCTTATATTAAAACAATCATATAAATGTCACACTAAATTAACATCACTATAAAAATATAAATTGACATTGTTCAACATATATACGCATTAAATAAATTGAGAACACACAGTTTCTTCTTTCACTTTCCAAAACGCATTGGAATGTTTGTTGCTCAATGACCTATGTACCAGAGGTTACCAGAGTGGAGGGTTTGAAGCAACATACAATTTTCTGAAGTAAGAGTAACGTATCATCGCGAGTATTGCATCGGGAATGAGACTGGGTCATTACCCGAAGTGGATCGACTTGGCGAGACTGGTGGATCATCATTATGTCTTCTGCAACTGAGATTCTGCGATGGATTTGCAAACCTAGGTGTGCCATGAGCTAGTTCAGTTAAGTTATTGTAGTTAATAATAGGCTACGAGTACAAAATCTCTGCTGACTGTAGTGTTATGTTGGTCAGTTTTGCTGTAATGAAGACCGTATGCTTTTTCTTTCTTGTTTAGGATCAAATTTTAATATTTTCCCTATAATTTGCTTTGAACTGCCTTTTTTATGCCTCAATACATTGAAAATATCTCGTTGGTTTGGTCGAAATTGGAGTAAAAGTGGTTAAAGAACAAGGAACACTTAAAACAACTAATCTTCTTCACTTAAACCAGACGAAACTAACCTTAACAATGTCCTCAGTAAAGGATGATTATCTGCAAGGAGTGTGTTTTATCGATGGTAAAAGAAACCATCGATGGTACTGTATTCGTTAAGCTTTTGTAGACATTTGGAATAAATAATGATTTAAATATCGGTGATTACAATGAAGCTACAAACAAACATTCATAGACTCAACTCACCTGGAGATGACCTTAATATTACACTCATTTATTTACGGTCTTGTATTAAGCAATGAAGATTTGAGTTAATGCTAAATAATATTTAGGCAGCAACTGAGATAGAACAGTAATCATTCGTGGAAATAGCATATATCTAAGGGTACTTCAGGGGCCCATTTCATAATAAACTACAAGTTACAAGTTACAACTTGTAACTTGTAATTTCCATTAGATTTGCATTGGGCGATCAGCTGATTTACTAATAATATTAGTTTGTACTTTATTATGAAATGGGCCCCAGATCTACATTTCTGTTACTGCAACAATGTACTGTACTGAACAATCGGAATAACACCACCATTCACCATCTTATCTTACCTTGTTCTGGCCTTATTCTTATAGACACCATACCAAATTATTTTGTATAGGCCTAATTGTTTTTGTGTTATAATAAATTTACTTATTCTAAAATAAATTGCTATGTAACCAAGCAATCTAATGTTAATATTGTCGAACCTGGAGGAGAATTAAAATTGTATTGAAACGTTTGCTATGTCCAATCATTAACCTATAAATACACTGCACTCGATTTAATGTAGCCAAACTTCAAGATTCAATGTAGCCAGACTACAAGATCCTATGTAGCCAAACTACAATAAAGATGACGAACAGTTTATTCACTAGGTCCAACATTCCCACAGTAACTCAGGTCTTTCACGAGCTCCGCTATCGTGACTGGGGCGACACGAGCTTGGAGCATGAGCTCCAAAACTGCGATCATTGTTAGAATTTGGCATACGCAATGCCCAACGTCACGAGACGTGGTTGCGGAATCGTAGGTTTGTTGGGATAAATCATGGGAGGACCATTTATAATTTATTGGTCATTTGAAACAAGTCATTTCATTTTAACGAAACAGCTTTTAAATTTGATTAAGATTTAAAATAGTATGTGTTGCTTAGAACGTGTCAACCTAAACAAAGAAAAATATTTTGTACGGTATTGTAGTTCTTAATACTTCTAGTAGTGCAAACACATACGTTCTATTAGAACTTCTTGATAAGCATTATTCATGCTAAGGATATTATTTATATATCATGAAGGGTGTCTTTCAACACTAATCGATATTTTTACACTCATATTGTTAATGTGTAGGCTACAATACAGCGAATGCATCATGTGAAGGTCACTAGCTTCTAGTCAATACTTCTAGTAGTGCAAACACATACGTTCTATTAGAACTTCTTGATAAGCATTATTCATGCTAAGGATATTATTTATATATCATGAAGGGTGTCTTTCAACACTTATCGATATTTTTACACTCATATTGTTAATGTGTAGGCTACAATACAGCGAATGCATCATGTGAAGGTCACGCGTGTATGCATCATATTCTAGACACTAGCTTAGCCAGCGTCAATGGCTAGAATATACAGTGTCAATTGTTATCTATTTAACCATGCGCCGGCCATATCTGGTCCAAATTAAATCCTAAGGAATCATAAAAGCGTACCAACCTAAGGTCGCTAAAAGTTGTCACGGAAGAATCGAAGGTGTAGTAATTCGAAGGTGCGACAAATTTAATTTGTAACTGTACCAACCAATTTAAGTAAGGAGAACCTGTCTCTTTCTAGACTTGAAACACCGAGTAAGAATACCGAATGTGGAGTGAATAACTATTTAGTATAACCTGGCATCTTGAAAATCATCTGTTAACATTGTATAAACAGTTTTTTCGTCGTACCGTAAGTGTTGTATAAGGGGGCACTCCACCCAAAAACTGGCCTAAAGGCAAATAAAAAAAAAAAATATTGTTTTATTTTTTTCTCTGGTTTTCCCCGAACACATTGGTGTGCAATATGTAGTAGTACATATTCTATGATTTGTAAGTACAAATGATCTGTAAAACTTTGGTTAAACCAACAGAATTGTGTTTCCTTTCGTTTCCGGGGCGATTACCGAAAGTTTGATTTTCACATGTTTTAAAATACAGGAACGGATGTAACTCAGGTTCTATGTGAGATAATCTAATAATCTGTTTTTTTTATTTTGAAGGTTATAGTGTATTCTACAAACTGTAGCATGGATTTACACAAATTCAGTTTTTAAATATTTGTAATTTAATTATGAAACAATATTTTTGAAAAAAAAATTGTTTTTCAAATTGTTTGATAAATTTTTTACATTTATAAGTAGTGGATTAAAATTTCCATGCTACAGTTTGTGCACACACATGTGCTCTACAAAATAAAATTTACAAAATCAAGATATCTCATACCTACCTTAATATACATCCGTTCCAGTAAACATCGATCTTTTCAGTAAAATCGACCCCCCCTGTGGGGGGGGGATCATGAAAAGGGGGTAACCCCATATTTTCTTTTTATTTTGATAGCTTAAACTAATGTGTAAAATAATAAAATGTTTCATACATAAATAAAGATTTTTTTTTATTTTGGGTGGAGTGCCCCCATAAGATTCAAGACATCAAATGATGTTGGAAGACATCTTCAGTTGTATCTTAGAACGAGTGATAATGATTCTTAGCCTTTATAAAACACACTTTAAACAAAACAAAACAAAAGATTGTAGCTTTATTAGCTCAATCCTCACCATTGCGTTGGCTAAAGCCGGAATATTTAAATGATAATTTTAACGATTTATTAATAGTTGTTTAAGATTAATGTTAGTTGCAACACACCTTAAACGGTTAATGGTTAGATTTTTACTGAATAAAAATAAGGTAGTGATTATACTAAACAATATCCTTCTAATCTGACCTTAATCAAAAAATCTCTATAACAATCGAAATCACCCACTGTCGGTATAAACACTTGGCCTGGTTACCACATAATAGGAGTATTAACCGTCGATTATCATTAGGCTGTAAAGCTGAGATGCGGTTTGAAGCATCAGGTTGTACCATTAGCGCGTCTGATAGTGTTGGGTCATGGAGATCGATCTGAGGTGTGGTGAAAGGTGTTACAAAATAGTACGTAATGGTATAACGCAAAACAGCTGTATTGAATAAAACTGTCAATACTAGTATTTAGGATTCCAAGGTCATACACTACTATCGTGTCCTTTAGGGGACAAAATGTTAACAATGCGCTCAGTTTCTTACAGAGGTTAAAGACATTTTCTTCGATGGAATAGGCCTAATGAACAATAGTAGGCCTATTCTGTAAAACAGTTTGTTGTAGGTGATAAAGCTAAAGAAAAAGCTTTATGTGGAGGGAGATTTTCAAAATATATAAAGTCACCCTCGCCTTAAAAACCGTCTTTTTAAGGGTATTTTAAATGGTTAGACTATTATCTAAATGTGGAATCCAAACCATTGGGATGCTGTGCTATCACAAAGGGAAAGATAGTATATCTATACTATGATATAAAAATCTAATGGTGTCTGTCTGTATGTGTATTACTAATAGGTGCAAAAACTACTGTACAAACTGGACTAAAATTTTACAAAAATATAGCTACCGTACCAAGGACCATTATAGGACTATTCACATTTCGATAGAGGTCGTACGGAACGAGGTGAAGCTTGGAGGGGAATAGTGGTGTGGTGGGGGAAGTGTCGCTATGCGAGGCGACGATCGGCTCGTCTCCTACCCCCACCATGGATTTCCCCGCTTTAGACCGTTCCCGCCGAAAATCTCAGGCTTCACCTCGTTCCGCACGACCTCTACTGACCGTAGGCTTTGCCCCTCTGGCTTTTAAAGTTGTGAGGTGAAGATTTTAAAAGTAAATATTGATTGGTCTCCATGGCTGCGATGAGAACACTTAACAATGTTTGTTTACATTTGCTTTGACATTTAAATGTAAACAAGAAGAACTTGCTAAACTGCATATTTCACAATTTCAGACA